GTTTAATCATCAATGAGTAGACTAACGCATACATTTTTTTTGGACTGCACCCATATAGTTTGTCTTTGCTGAATATACTATATTTACTTCATTTCTCTATTGAGTTAGCAATGGCAATATGATTGATTTATATACTATATAATTTGCACCCATATAATGATCAATTAACCATGTTTCTCTATATAATTTGTCTTTGCTGAATATAGTATATTTGTTTGGTCTGCACCCATATAATGATCAATTAACTCCTGAAAATACCCTTTCCAGACATAATTTCTTTTCATCATTGTTAAGGCTGATTTTACCTATTTCACTTAAATGGCGACCTCCCTGCACTCCCATTTTTCTGCTTAGGATTCTCATTTAATTGGTGAGCACTCAGATTTGGAATATCAGCTCTTTAGTACTGGTTTATCATTTTAAGAAAATAGGAGCAATGTGATTTTGTTCTCTAGAGACTAGAATTGAATAGTTAGTCCTTTTAGTACTATCCTACTACCATTTGTAGCTAACAGATGCATCAGTTCGACTAGGCATTATCATGTATTGTACCATAGTATTTTTTTTGCATAGAGTAAATACCTACTTCTGTTGCAGGTTACTTTTCTTTATAAAATCTGGTTCAGGATGCTGTTTTACCTGTTGTAATACCTTCAGCATAGAAGCAGTAGTGGTCTGCTCCTCCAAAGATCTATAGCTTGTGGATGCGGCGGATGTGGCACAGGGAGCAGATGAATTGGGAATAAGAGGACCCCCGGCGCGCGCACAAATTGTTTCTACCTGACGGCTGATAGTGAGGGTGAGCACCGAGTTGCAAAGTTGTTGCCCTTCCCTGCAAATTACAGTTCCTTCAAATTAACCAAATCACCATCTTATTTTTTTCCTAATTTTCTCTTATTTCTTAGATGCCTCTGACCTGTCCCGAGAAGGTTCGAGCCGAAGTACGACTTGTACAACGCATCACCAATTCGTCCGACAGTGTAAAATGCGTTTGTGTTAGCTGAGTGAAAATTAGAGATCAGCCTGGTGGTACTTTATTATTTTATTCTATAGCTTGATCTGCCAAATGCTATTAAGGAAATGAAGTTTCTTCCTCGATCAAGTTATCAATCCTTATTGGGTGTATGCTTCCTACTCAACACCTGAATAATCAATTTGTACATGCTCATATATATTAATATGCTATTTTGTTGGTGCATAAGAGATAATACATGCATGTGTAATCTACAATTTCAGTGAGCTAAAACCCTATTGTTCTCAGGTTTTTTGTCATGGATTATTTTATTCTCATGTAAACTATAGGAAGAAACACTCATGTATGTACAGAACTGAACTGAAGCTACCATGGAAATTACGTTCTATAGCTGTGGGTCATTTCCGGTATGAACAAAATTACTAAAATACCTTTTCTTTTTACCAATGAACGAAACTCAGGACAAACGCTGCTGCAAAGGGGGCTGGTGCTCCAAAGAAAGCAAAGCAGCAATTCTTCCATCGGTTGGACTAGATATGTACATACGGTATGACTAGCGCTTCTTGGGTTCCATGCTTGATACAACCGTGTTAAATAATGTGTCATCATATAACGATTGTGGTTTCTCTTTTCCTCACAGCATCTTCTGCGATCTGTTTGCTTATCAAGCTAGGTTTACCGTTAGATGGGTGTGTTTCTGAAGAACGCTTCTGAGCTCTGCTGCGCCATAGCAACGGTCTGACCATGGGGTCCGGAGATCGTCAACTCAGCACACTTTTGGGCATGCACATGATGTATTTTGTGCAGCTTTCTAAGGCAAAGCTTTGACACCAGCAGACCCATGTCAGGCCACTGCCATAGCAATTCCTCTATTTAGGCGCTCGACTAACAAATGCAAAGGTTTCTGTTACAAAAGGTTTAGAATCATTACCCTTGATGCTTGAATTTGGACCTTGCACCTTACTTGGGTAACATAGAGCCAAATGTCACATTGTCCAAATACACGTTCATAACACTTCGGGTTTGACATGGTCTCTATCCTTGATCAAACATAAAGTTACTAAAAAAGGCAAATCTTTCTCAACACGAACATGGTTTCAATTGGGTCTCTGCGCCATTTGGCGCACCGGGTCATCTAGTTATGTCAAAAGTGCAACCGGATGGTATATATTAGACCTTGCTTGATTATGGAGGTTTTTAGTAATTTATTGTCCAGTTAAAAGCTGCCACACTAGTATCCCTAGAGGACAAGATAACCTGAAAACAACAATGCTATGCACACGACAAAATTCCGTCCTACACTTGTAGGATTAGAGATGTCTCGGTTTGTGAGTCATAGGGTCAGTTCTTTTGAGAAGCTTTAAAAATAAGTTGTCTCTCCCCAAATTAAAAAACTAAACCGACCCTAAATTTTTTGGGACTTCTAAATTATTTATTCCATAACTACTTTAGAAGCCCTAATGAATAAGAAAGGCGGCTTATTTTTTAAGCTGCCAAAAGAACTGGCCCATAGCATGCAACATCTATTCAATGTCTCATGTAGAAGTGTTGTACAAAACTAATTGTACCCAGAGTTGTTTTGAACCTCAAATTAAATTATCTTCATCACCGTTTTCCATCAAAATTTCTTAAACAAATGAAAATATATCTATATGAGAGCAAAATACTCTGGTTTTGTGTGAAGATATATAAGGACCTATGTTTTAGTTCAATGAAAATTGAACTCTACCTTCGTAGTTCCAAAAACGTGTCTTATCGCGAAGTATGTATCCAGTTGAGCTTGGTTAATGGAACGTAATCAACACTAGATAGATCACACAGTTTTGCAAAATCTCATTTTCTCTATATTGCATCACTGAAGTACATCTTTTTGCTTTGCGCATACGAGAAATTTCAACATCATATGGCTACCATATTTTCTCTTTGTAAAAAGGCAGTTGACCAATGGAGTGTTTTGTTAGAGCAGTTTTAAGATGGTCCATCTCAAAAGAAATATTCAATCTGAACATTCCATTCATTAAGGATACATTTGATCATGCATAATAATCCAATTAAAGCAACTACTTGTCAAAAATGAATGTTTAAATGATTTTAACCTCTATTTTCACTATGTTTAAAGGAAATTCATGAATATGTTTATTTTGCTTCCATATATAATAGGCATGCATGGCCTCCATATATAACAATCATGCCTTATTATTGGATGACATTTTTTTACCAAATATGGCTTACATATATAATAGGCATGCCTTATTAGTGGATACCATTTTGTGTTCATCATATTTTTTTTCAATAGATACGAACTTTGCACTAATCATGTATCATTATTACAAAATACACATTACCACATGACACATGTGGTAAGCAATCCAAACTATTCAAAAAAAAAGAATACATATTTAATTCATACTATCATGTCAAACTTCTATTTATTTCACTCTTACTCGTGTAAAAAACTATATGATCCCATGAAAAAACTGAAATTGTGTCTGAAAGTATACAATGTTCCAAAAGTTCAAAATTAACTAAAATACAAAAATTGTGTTTTTACTCACATGAGTATGCGGGTTAAATACTTTGTGTGATGAAAATAAGACGTAACATGGAAATATTAGCAGTATGCATGATATATTCATAGTTCCACACCATGTTGTAATGGCATAATAATTTGTTTGCTTATTTGTATAAAGGTAAAAGTCCATATTAACCCTACAGATTTGTCGTCCGTATGTTAGAGCATCTATACCTGGATTTTTTTTGCGGGGTTAAACCTATACCCGGACTTAGCAAATCTGGCCCCCTAAACGCCCGTGGACACGTCGGGTCTCTGAAACTGGGCGAGTCCATTTTGAGCCCTTATATTTGCCAGTCCATGCAGCCATACTCCTCATTTTTTTCCTTTATATATCCGGTCACTTGCACGTGATTGATGAAGATGAAAAGAAAGAAAGAAAAGAATGAATAAAGAAAGTGAAAAGGTTGGGTTGGACCGCGTCCTACATGGCAGACTGACCAGGCGCTTCCGCGATCCCTCATTTTCTCCCTAGAATCTTCTCAATATGAAGGTTCGCAGACAACCCAGACATATAGGAATGATACAAGTGGTCCGTTTGGGTCACTTTTTGTCTTCTCTCTTCTATCCAGTCACTGACTAGGCGCGTCCGCGAACGTTTAAGGAGAATTTGAGGAGGCTGGTTGTAGATGCTCTTGCCTTACAAGAGGTAATAGTGATGGAGATAATCCTAAAATTTTCTCGTTTCTTTATGCGAAAATTGTGTGCTTTTTTGTCGTCTGTATCTTAACTCACAGGAGTATGCGGGTTATATATATATGAGTATGTGGGTTATATACTTTGCGTGCTTTTTTGCATGTTATATGTTCGACTTGTGTCAAGCAGCAAATAAAGGTTCACCCACCGGCACTTGCTGAAGACACACAAGAGAATCTACAGTTGCCAAAAAATGCATGTGCACATGCATGAACAATACAGTAGAAATGTACAAATTAAATGAAATACTTTTTCAGGAAAAGTGGCATAAATTAGTGAAATGCTAGACTTTTAGCATTGTGGAAGCAAGCTAAGACTTGCTAAATGGGTGCCAAAATTTCAGTACATACAAATGGGTGTAAAGTGCCAAAATATGTTGCTTACATAATGCCGATTAAAAACATCTCTAATTTTGAAGGACGACGTGAGCAATAATTTTTGGGTAAGGCTTATGTGCATGAACGGTTCAAACTTATTTCTGGTGTGTGTTTGGTTGTTCAAGTCTCAAGGCAAGCGTGAAAAAATGGCGCGAAGCTCACACCGAATAATGAACCGACCAATACATGAACGAAAACTAAACAATAGTGAGATCTGTATATACATAACAACAATCTAAGAGATGCATATTATTTATTATCCTTTGGACCACTAGGATCAAGCTTTCAAAACACATCCAAATCTCTTTGAACAAAGCATCGAGGGAACATAACATAATATCTAGAAAATTCTAGATAAGTAAAACATAGATTGATTGATGTCTTAAAAACCTTCTTCGGAAGAACCATCCTCGTCATCCTCTTCGTTTTGTGGTGGATCTGACTCCACCAACTCCTCTAAAGTTGCATTCTCCACATTACCCTTCTTCACAGGATAAGCAACATCAATGGTGCCCTCACGAGTGCACATGCCACATTCTTGCTTCACGAATGACTGTGTACCATATGAACTGTTGAAGAATGCCCAACGCTTAACACATAAATTTGCAAAAGCCAAAGAGGCAACCATGAGGGCTGCAATGATGATCAAAGTCACGATCAATGGTACGTAAGGATCGATTGAAACGGACGAATCACTGCCTCCTCTTGACCCATATGGTGTGACCAACAATGGTGGTGGTGGTGGTGGTGGTGGTGAGAAGAGTGACATCTCTAGCCGCTCACTAGTTTCTACTCCTAGATAAGAACCTCCAAGAAAAATTTGTGCTATATTTGGTGACTTTTTGTGCGTTGAGGTGTCTTTCTCCAGAGGCTTTAAAAGGAGACATAGGGGCAAAATAGGACTTTTAATAACATGTTTGTTAGAAAATTTTCCTAGGCCGTTGCTGCATGCATTTCACGTCACACACTTTTCGCTTTACGTGCCGTTTGAGAAGTGATGCAGATTGTCTCGTAGCATTCAGTTGCAAACCTTTTAAAAGAGGACACTAAGAGTTTCTATATAGAGACAGTTACAGCTCGAATCTATATCTTTTAGAGTGTACATCTTTCTTTTCTCAAGTTTATCATGAGAAATATGCACAACCTTCCAAATAAAAGCATGTCGCCTAGCTGGCCAAATGTTTATCTTCAAGCTTTTGCTCTGCTTTAGATTGGTAGAAAGAAAATTGTTATCATTGGATCACGCATGCTCTCATATGGCCTCTCTTTATTAGATTTCAAAGTGTTGGATCCTTTTTAGTGGAACCAACTGTATAATTTTCGGCCGGTTGCCGCACGGCTACCGATTCAAGTGCCCCACATTGTTAGATCTCCCCACAAATCCGTCTCCTTCCTCATGCTAGCACCCCTGACGCCCCACCGGTAGCAGCTCGCACCCCTCCCCCACCGCCGTCGCCCTCGTTGCCGGATCACAGTGCAAACCATTGCCGGGTCACAGTGCAACCTATTGCCGGGTCGAGGCAAAAAAATTGGTGCCTCCAGGTTGCAGCGTTGTGTCGCTAGTCACGCGTGTCGCCGTTGTTCGTCAATTACAGCTTCCTATCCACACAATCGCAACTTTTTGTGTTGTCGATTCCAGGAAAATCACGACCACAACACAACCCATTCTCCATCGTCGCAATAAATGCCCTGGTTGGTTCCAGCTTTTTGTGCTGCCGCTGCTGGTTCCAGCATTGACGGCAACTGGCAGTTGCAGCTCCGCCGGCCTCCGGTTGTAGCACCGTCCCATGCCGGTTACAGCTCGCCGGCTGCCGGTTGTAGCACGGCCTCATGCCGGTTGCAGCTTGTTGTTGTATCATCGCCCTCTGTCGGTTGCAACTCATCGGTCGCCGGTTGTAGCATCCCCTATGACGGTTGCAGCTCGCCGACCGTCGTTTGCAGTACTGCCCCATGTGTGTGATCAATGGATGGCCATGCAATACTGAAATCGTTTACCATACATTTTCCGTTACATTTGCCTCGCCCGTTGGCCTAGTTAGGCATTTCTTGATAGTGAAGAAAGTGGGCCGATGTTACAGCCTCATGGGCTTGTCGGGGGCATACACCACCGGAACGGCTGTATAAAGAAAAAATCTCAAAAAAAGGCTATATAAAGAAAAGGAATCTTTTAAAAAATATAAAGAAAAATAAAACATTTCTCAAAAAAGAAAGAAAAAACTGGAAAATCTCTTCATGTTTCTAACACATGTAGTGTGCTGTGTGCACCCTCGCAATATCCGTGCTACATGAGAATCACACGAATAAATTCACAATCCAGGCTTGTGGAGGATCACAGGCGGACGTGCTTGATGTTTTGGCCGAAGAAGAAGCTAATTAATCAGGTTTGATTTTCGCTTGTTAGGTCATGGTCCGTATCATTCTTTTAAATTATTATTATTATTACATAGATTTCATCATAAGAAAAAGCAAGCTAATTTTTTTAAAATAATACATTTTTTATAAAATTTGAAAAATAATATACGATTTTGAAAAATTACACAAATAATACGGCGTCGGCTTCCTGTAAGCCGACTGGTGCTAGTCGGCCAGCGGCAAGCCAAATAGGGGCCAGTCGGCCACCGGTAAGCCGATTAGTGGCTGGACCATCGAGGGGAGGCCGACAGGCCGGCCTATCGGCTTCAGGTAAGCCGATAAGTGGCTGGATGGATGGGGTGTTGCGTGTGTGATCGATGGATGGCTGCATACATGGGCTGATTGATTCCAATATTGTATGTGGCTTAACTAGTACATGGGCTGATTGATTTGAGTATTGCATGGCCATCCATCGATCACACACACGCAGCACCCCATCCATCGGGGAGCCCCTAGCTGACGCTCGTGGGCGTCAAAAACACGAGCTTCCGCGCAGAGCGCGATCTGAACGGGCCGGCCCATTCCCTGACGTCACGGTGAGGCAGTACAAAAAATCCCAAAAACTACGACATGTGAGGGATTCGAACACACAACCATACGATAGATTGTTAGGAATCCTCACCACTTCAGCTACTGCGTCACAATGATTACTATTCTGCGTGAGTTCTTAAAGAACTAAATGTAGTGACAGATCGAAAAAAAATTCCAACCATTGAACATTTTTTTATTATACATTGAACATTTTCGTAATATACAATGAACATTTTTTAAATACACGTTGAACCTTCTTGGGATATACGCTGAACAATTTGAAAATACACATTGAACCTTTTTGTGATAAACGCTGAACAATTTGAAACTACACGCTGAACATTTCTGTGATATACATAGAACAATTTGAAAATACGCATTGAACATTTTGTAATATATGTTGAACATTTTTAAATACGCAATGAACATTTTCTTATTGTACAGTGAATCGTTTGTTAAATACACGCTGAACATTGTTGTGATACAAGATGAACTCTTATATAATATACAAAAAAATAAAATGTAAAAATAAACAGAAGAAACACAGTTTTTTATCATATTGAAGCATTAATGCAAAAAACAAGATAATTCTTTTTCTTAAAGTATTAATGGACGAAAAAGGAAAAGAAAAAAGAAAAGAAAGAGAAAGATAAAACCAGAACAAAAAAAAAAGAGAAAAGAACATGAAAGAACCAGAAAGGAAAAACAAAACAAAAATGCAAAAGAAGAAACCACAACAAAACCACTGAAAACCGGACAAAACATTGAGAAAATCGAAAGCAAAAAACCTAAAACAAAGGAAACAGCACAGGAAAAAGGAATAGCGGACGAACAAAACACGAATCCCGTACGTGGGCCGGCCCAACCAGACGCTCCCCTCAGCGAAGGCTCAACGTTGTGACGCCAACGAGCGTCAAATAGGGTTTGCCCATCCATCGAGCCACTTATCGGTTTACCAGAAGCCAATTGGCCGGCCTATCGGCCTCCCCTTGGCCGACTGCATCACTGTGCGCCAGGTGGCCCAGCCATTAATCGGCTTACCGATGGCCGACTGGGCCCTAGACTGGCTCCAGTCGGCACACAGGAGGCCGACGTCGTATTATTTTTGTAATTTCTTAAAATCATATATTATTTTCTTAATTTTATATAAAAATGTATTATTTAAAAAAAATAGCAAAAAGCAACAGCATCCAGCAATATATCTTGGTTGGAACCAACGTTTTCCGGCAAAAAGAAAATGAAGCAACAGAAAAGATAAGCCTTTCTCAGCAATATATCTTTACCTAAGAATTGGGTTTTTTCCGTACATCATAAAAAATACCCTCGAATTCGGCAAAATTTACCCACCAATGCCACCCGTAAGTGGCAAAAAACGGTTCACGCATCGCACTGTTGGTTCTGGTTTATATAAGCGGAGATCCCCCACTATAACACGAAGATATACTGAGCGCAGTGGCCAGCGCCGCACGCTTCCACTATAGAGGCCAGGGTTCTCTTTTTTTTCCTCCCGCACACGGTAATGGGCCGGCCCATTTTATCTCTTCTTTTTCCTCTCGCAAGTGCGCCTACTCCTCCCGCACACGGCGGCCCATTTTATCTCTTCTTTTTCCTCTCGCAAGCGCGCCTACTCCTCCCGCACACGGTAATGGGCCGGCCCATTTGCAGGTTGCAATGCCCCTGTTTTAATTTCATTTTTTGCCTTTCACGTTCTTATTTCTGTTTTAGTTTTTTCTTTTTTAAATTTATTCGTGACTTCCAGAAAAACAATATTTCAAGAAAAGTCTTGAAAAATTACAAATTGTTTGTGAATTAAAAAAATCAGAAAATCATAAAATGATCATGATTTCAAAAAAATTGTTCACGTATTATAAAAAACTATCACGGTTTTAAATAAATTTTCAGGAAATAAAAAATGTTCATGATTTTTTAAAAATATCCAGTATTCAAAACATATTAGGGAATTTAAAAAATGTCCATTAAAGTTTGGAATATGTTCACAAAAATTAAAATAGATCTATAAATAATAAACATAATGAACCGTCGCAGGAGATCTGTAGGGGGCGCTTCGTTATTGTATTTAGTCCCTCGATTTGGATAAAAAAAGGTTTTCCATGTCTTGTACACCGCTGAGCCCTCAAAAATTGACACAACTTTTTAAGGGTTAATTTTTGTAAGCTATATAAAAATGACTAAATTTCTATTTTGCCTTCATACACAGCTATATTTTTTTGTACCACATTACTAATTATTATAAACACCGCCACGCTAGGGCAAGGCGAGGCACTCACTCATCGGTCTAGCTCATGCAGTGTCCATCAATGCAGTTTTATCACCGATATTTTTTTTCGTTATGACGCGTTAGAAAATCAAGTCGTGATGAGACCATCACATTTTTTATTTTTAAAATGACTTTTTAAAAGTCCCTTATCTCGTCATGACATCACCCAGACATACTTTATGAAATTACATTCTAAAAGTCCTTATCTCATCCTAGCATTTGGTTCGGATTTTTTTTATATCTATTGCACGTGCATAATCTAATAGTTTTTCTTCCTTTGCAACGCACGGGCATATTTGCTAGTATCAAGCTAAGTGGTGGCTATATCTCTAAGAATAACACAAGGACTTGTGAAACAAAATTGAAACCAGAAGTATCTGTTGGTTTACAATCTCCAACTCCTGTCATGTAGAAATAGAACTGAATCACTCGTATGCACTAAGGATGGCAATTTTACCCATGGGTATGGGTACCCGCGGGTACCGTACTCGCATGGGCAGGGTATGGGCATAATTTTATACCCACGGTTAGTACCTATACCCTACCCG